CCGCGGGAAGGACCCCGCCGGGACGGGAGACCAACGCGCGCATCCCCCCGGAGCCATCCTCGCGGGGGGAACCCGGAGCACCCGTCCTGCTCCAGGTAACACCTGTCCCCAGAGCTCAGTGCTCTGGGTGCCCCAGCCAGCACCCACCAAGGCACCCACAGCCTGCCCACCCACTGCAACAGCGTCGGGCTGCAAATCCAAGTAGACCCAAAAAGTGAGAATGTGCAAAAACGTGCATTTCCTTACGAAACGGTAAACACCGTCACCTCCCTTCCAGCGTGCTCCTCTCATGATTTCCAGACCCTGAACCAGAAGGAGCATTTCTGCCATTCCCCCAAGTACAACCCCGCATCCCAGCTGCCTGATTACAGTTTTGCAATTACACAAATTATTTTTACCCTTGAAAACTGAGCCCTAAACACCTGGCTTCCCTCCATCACCTTTGCTGTAGGCAGGAAGGGTGCAGGAATTCTGAACTCACTGGTAATCATTACCTACCTCGTGCTGCCCAGCCAGCAGTAACCCAGAGGGCTCACTGCCTCGAACAACATCTACAGCAAGGTGGACATACCCCTCCCCGCCCCATCTGAGAGCCAAACAGATCCCCTTCTAAACTTTTATCCCATTCCTCACAGCATGCTTTAGGGAGATGCTGACTTGAACTGCCCTCTCGTTCCAGCCCCCATGGAGCTGCCCCACGTTTCCCCCTGCACGCTCTTCGCTCAGCCCGAGCATCCCCCTCAGCATTTCGGGAAGAGCTGTTCCCAGGCGAGGCGCCTCCATGAACACCCGAGGTAGGTGAGGGATGCCCCGGATTATCCAGGGGCCTGGGGGTAACTGCAGTCTGCAGGATTACTGAACTTTTCTCTCCATCTGAGCAGGACTTTTCTCTGCCTGTCATCCCCCTGGGCTGCATGACCGGACACCGTTTAAACCACTGCTCTCAAACCTAGAAACGATGCCACCCGCCAGGGGCGGAGAGCAACACTCAGAAGGATTTCTCAGCCCCTTGGGCGGAAGGATCATTCACATCCTTTCCCTTTGCTTTCACAGGAACCCAGACCCCGACAAATCCAAGCGCAGGAGTGAAGGACTCGAGCCAGCAGACAGAGTAAGCCGGTCCCCCCCTCCCTGGGCATTCAGGTACCCGCAGGGCAGCAGCCTCCGATGCCCAGACCCAAACCCCGTTCACCTCGGCACGAGCCCGGGCCAGGGACTGCTGCAGAGCACTCGCCTCTGTAACCCACTCTCTTTTTCATTTTAGCTGTGGAATAGCAGTTTTAAACAAGGTAAGCAAAAAACTTCTGGCCAGGACACTGACTGGTGCTAAATTTCTTTACTTTCAAAAATGATGACACTGCTGCTATGAGAAAAAGGCACTCCTGTCCCATGGATATCTACTGCTCTCACTCAGTAAATGCCCTGATGTGATACATGACACAGCAAAGATTCGTAACTCCAATGCTGGAAGTTGCCACAGAAAATATTTTCACTTCTCTGGAAAAAAACCCAAACAAATAAACCCCAGCAGGCTCCCCTCCTTCACTCAAACACAGGCTGTTAACTTCAGCTTTATTTCAAAATATTTGGATTATGTAGCTAGTTCACTGAATGTTTATAAACTGCAACGATCCTATTGTTTTTAAACATTTGCCCTTTCCCTTCCAGGAAATGGTGCAGCTGTCCAACTACCTGAAGGTACGTAGCAAATATCATTAAGTACTCACCAGGAAAGCAGGTCTTTAGCGAGTATATCACTTGTAAAAATTAGTATTAAATTTAGGGGCATTCCATGCTCAATTTTAACATGGCCAAGAAAGCCCAGAGATAAGCCACTGAACTCAAAGATCTGACTGAAAGCCCCCAAGCAGCACAAACCCTGACCCTGAGCTGGAGGGGGGAGCTGGGCTGTCCCCACTGGCTCCAGGGGTCCCCACCAGCCCTGGGGGTCCCCCTGACCTGCTCTCCCTTTCCCACAGGAGGCCCTGCACCGCGAGCTGCTGCTCAAACAGAAGATGGTGATTTTACAGGAGCTTTTCTCCACTCTGCTGCAAGCGTCAGAGAAATCCTGGCAGGTACCAGAGAGTGACGTGAGCGATTCCT